CTGCTGAAAGATGGTAAGAAAAAAATGTGCCTTTGCTATGTTTTGTTCACAGGGTGTACAGAGTCAGGCTTGGTCTATGCAACAGTGGTTAAATACAAATGCATTTAGAAAACGATGCCGTTGGAGCCTCTGCAGCAGCCATCCCCTGAATGCCTTGTGCCAGCCAAGCTGTAGCAGCCCCCTTTCAGCAGGCCCGCACAACACAGCCCTCCGGCCCTCCCTTTAGTTCAGTGGCCAGAAGAGGATGTTGCAGCTACAAAAGACGGAGCCGACAGGAGCCAAGTGTATTAAGAGGTAGGGAAGGAGTCCTGCTAGTTCAAGTCTTACTGAAGTCTTTCGAAAAGCTCCTCCTCCCTGGACAGTCATTTTCCTTCTTGGTAACGTGGACCTGTCACAAAATTGGAGAAGAGATGGAGAAAAAGAAAATGGGGGAGGAGAAGACTACAAAGCCATAAAAGTTAGCAGGAGGACCAAGAAGCAGCTGAGGTGCCTGGAAAGGAATTTAATTCATTTTTCTAAAGTTACTCATAGCTAAAGTCAACTGTATCAGCTTGCGTGTGGTATTTAACTATTTCAGTGCTGAAATTCCATACTTCTACCTGATCTAGTTGTCAATATTGCTAATGGCAATAGGATCTCCAAAAAATACCTCACTCCAGGCAGAATCTCTCCCTTTTGCCCCTCTGTGCAGACCAACGGCACGGCGGGGAGGGGGAAGACAGAAGAGGAAGGCGAGGAGCGGTCCTGCTTCCCATCAGGTTAAGCAGCCTAAATGGGGCGTCTAAGTGTGCTTTACATTTTCTTCTCTGTACTTAGGCACTGCTGATCTTTGGGGATCAGGCCTCTGCTGAGTACATTCTCATATAGGGTATAAAAATATACCTCATAAAGGATATATTCATAGCAATCACGTCGCGGCAGCTGGAGATGACTTATCACTTCCCGTTGCCATGGTTTCCTACCAAAAACAATGACTCTCAGTTACCAGCGGCATACGCAAAGCTGACAGGCACATGCCCCACAGCTGGAAGAGAACACGCGCCGCGATTCCGTACCTCCGCCTAACGCGAGCGGGCATGGGAGCTCGCCCCGTGAGCTGCAGGGGAACCGGAGCAGTCACGCTGCTCAGGAGCGGGGAGAGGAGGCACTGACAGGCACCCAGCACGAACAGCTCGAGGAAAAAAGAATGACAATTTTAACTGCAGGCTGCCACGTACAGTGCTTCATCTGTCAGGTTTTAAATCAATCACTACGTTTGTAGAATCTGCTAAAGTCACTTCAGCGGGGCCATTAAAAATAGGGGAGGAGATGAGACATTTTGCAGAGAAGCTGAGAGTTAAACATTTTGTCTACGCTGTTCATGGGTTAGTTCAGCGCTGCCGTCTCCTCACTGCACCCCAGAAGGTACCTGGACCATAAATCCTACTCCACATCTTCGAAACAACAGACACGATTGTTTTCAGTGTCCTCGTGCCAACGTTTTAGGTATTTTCAAACCTGACTTTACTAGCTAGCACAGTATAAGCTCCTTTTCACAGTTCGAATACGCTGAACAAAGTGGGATGAAGGAAGGGCAGAACATCCCAAAGATGCAGCAGACACCTACGGCTACTGACAAGCTCCAGTGGAAAGGAAGAGATGCCATGGACCAAGCCTACGTTTCTAGCGAAGAAATCCAATTATCCTTCTCAGAGCTCATCAGGAAATATTCGCTGTGTTCCAGCTGAACAAGATGAACCCTCCTCTCAAGTTCTGACAGACTTTTTTCTCTATTTTAGTTCTCAGCATTTCCTTCTTCAAACTGCCTTTTTTACTATTTTTGACGACCGAGAATATTTAAGAGTTGATTTTTCTTAGGTGTTGGTCTGAAGCACCGCTACTGCACCCTGTTGCAATCTGCTGTTTCTGATACTTATTTCAGGGCTAGGGTGTGATTAGTTTTATTTAGAGAACATCCTGCTGTAAAGGAGCCTGGAACTTGACAAAAGGTGCTGGAATGAACCTAGCCCAAATAGAGCAACTTCAAAATAAAATCAAGAGGCACTTGTCTTTGGTGTATATATACTTCAGCGGCTGGCTGAGCTGGTCCAGCAGTACACACTTATTGTATCCAATGGTTAACAAATTTTCATGTGCCCAAAGCATTGTGAATAAACCTGTAATTTTACGTGCAATCAGCCATGCTTTCTCAACTGTTCCATGACATGAAAGGAACTGGACAGCTCTTTGGAAAAAAAAACAAAAACCAAAAACAAACAAACAAACAAAAAAACCACAAAAAAAGCCCAACCCCCCAAAAAGCCATCCACTCAGTCCAATTTACCCACCATGCAGTCAGCTCAGGCTGCAGAGCTGTGGCTTGGGAGCTGGGGGGGAAGGAGGGCCAGCAGCGAGCCAGGAGCTGGGCTCTGCCGAAAAGGCCGCTCACTGGGTGGCATCGTTCCCTCTGACCCCCAGCTGAACAAGGGGCACAGCCTGCTTCCCAGGGCACCTTTAAAAACCTGAGCCTGGTAATGCCATCTTTAAAGATATTTTGGCACTTTCCATATGCCCCAGGCACCTTTCTTCTAGATTTCTCCTGTAACTTCAGGCTGGTAAGGTACTGAGGCAGAATTACTTGGTTAAACCTAAGAAATCCTACTACAGGCACAGCAGATCAGAAGATACATGCACTTCTCATAATACATTAGCTGCGTTCCACCCCACAGCTGGCTGCATTTCAGTGTTGCTACAAAGCCAGTAAATCGGTGTTGAACATGCATCAATCTCCTTGCATTAAAAAAAGTATAAATTGCTAAAACGTTAGTAACACATGGGGGGAAAAAAAGCACGAAAAGGACAGTATTTCTCACCTCCCATCAAACCTGTGCTTCAGGAAGTCAAAGAGAGCTTTCTGCATCATGTCTGTCACCTTTGCAGAGGTGAGGAAGATTGAACAGGGAGGATTGACAGGGAGACAAAGAAGTCAAAAGTAAGAAAAGAGGTAAGTAGAAAGTAAGGATACTGCCAACAATCAATACCTTTTATAGGTGGCAATCATTTAATTTTCACGCTCTTGGCAGCACACTTTGTAATAAATACTTGCAGGTTTTCTGACTCATTCTCAAAACGCAGCACGGAGGATGTGAGAGCTGTCACTCTTTCTGCTCTTGTCTTGACTTGCACTGAAGCATTAGAGCACACCTCACCACCTTCCGCAGCAATACCATTCCCAACAGGCTTCAGAACACGTCAGAAGCATATGGGACTATTCGGGTTGAATAGATCATTTGTTTTTTTCCTACAGTAACATTATTAGAATTGGCTTAAAACTTCAGATACAAGATTTATCGTGTTGAGTGACTGTGCTAACAGAAGAGAAAAACTGTTCTCAGAGAGGCGTACAAGCAGAAAAAATGGATGCTTCCATTCCTGTACAAGGTAAAGCATCGGCGAGATGCTCAGCTGCAACAGCCGTCATCTGCTGGAGGGAATGAGCTCCTTGTCCTTTTCAGGCCAGCTCAGGCTGACACCTATTATCTGCCAGCCTAGACAGGAACTTAATCAAAGCCCCCAGGCCTCTGGCAGTTTATTTCTCCTAGGTTATCTTTCAAAATGGTCCCTTCAGAATTTAGTCAGAAAAAAAACAGCCGAAAGAACTTTCCCATGTAGGTTGCAAAGTCAGATCAATGTGTTTCCGTTATGTACACCACTATCTGTAATTGAAATTAACGTTCTGTGTTACCATTTATACACCTTTGTATGTTCAAGATGGCATGTTTAGTATTATTTTCTTAACCAAAGGTGGGACGGCATTATTTGTAGCGGCATGTATTAACAAACAGCCTCTCTCCCCTCCAAGCTTGAGAGTCCCCAGGCAAATCAATCTGTGGTGCAGCACCACAGAAGTCAATGGATGAAATTTACTCCCGTCAAGAAACATCACCATAAAATTAAAAGGCAGAGAGACATGAAGTACCCGCTTTGCTAAACTACCCTTTCAATCATTCTTAGAAAAAAAAACCAATGCAAGAACACTGCGCTATGCTAATAACGGTACCATGTTGTAATCTTCCAAAAAGAACCATTCCAATACGTTTAATAATATCCTATAAAGTACTAACAACATTAATTAAGCTAAATGAAGTGTATCTTTGATTTTATGTTCATGTTCATTTAGTTCCTAATTCAGTAAAACACTTAACAGATGGTTAAGTTCACTAAAATGCCCTGCTAAAAGCCTATGCTCGTTTAGCACGTGTTAAATGCTCATTTGAATCTGCAGCAGCCTTGAGAAATGGGTGTCCTGTTTATCTGTGAGTGTTACCACACCTACGTTCAGGTTGAACAGAGGCAAATAATTTAGAAGGGTTAAAGGTTTATATATATATATATATATATATATTTCAATATACTAATAATCTTAAAAAAATCAATGTCAAGAAAACATGCTGAAATAATAAATTATTAGTTGCCATATTCAGTTTCAGGTGCTGTGGAACAAAACTGAATACGCTGGGATAATCCAGCTACTTCACTTGCCAACACTGAGTTTCCTAAGTTTTTGCAAATGAAAAAAGGAGAAAAATGTGGAAGCCTTAAGTTCAAAGCATGTGCTTGTTTGACTAAAAATTTACATGTATACAGAAGTCTAGCTAGTTAATTCGACTGCTCTGACTTTTTCTTGTAGCGGACACAAATCCTCCTTTTCTTACTTGATTTAATCAAGAATACCCGTATTGAAAACAATGGATGTGCACTGTGTTTAAAGCAGTAAAACGACAAGGAGAGCACCAGCGTACTTGTTACCCACCCTTCAGATGAGACATCACAAGTACTGTTACAAGGTAGAAAAAAAATTCAGCTGGTACCCCAGCTGAACGGTGCGAAGCACTAACTATGCTCTTAGTCCTTATATAACATTTCTGACAATTATTTGAGCTAAGATTGCTTTAAATTATCATAGAACAGTTGCACTGGACCGCACACACCGATTGTACTAAGATAACAGAATACTAACTAACTGCAAATACCTGGATCATAGAACAGTTGCACTGGACCGCACACACCAATTGTACTAAGATTATAGATAACAGAATACTAACTAACTGCAAATACCTGGAATACATACCTCATAGCCTTTCAGGGATGGACCCACCAAGACAACGGGTCTCATTGATGGTACTACATCATATGGGGGAACATGTTCTGTCTAGAAGAAGAAAACAACCCTTCAGATCATTAACCAAAGAAGATCCGTATGAAAATCCCGGGAATTATGTATTAGAATTAAATAAAATAAAATGAAAGTACTACTTACCACTTTTTGTTTCTGTTTTGCTAAAAGACCAAATGAGAACTTGGTTAAAAAACACAAACTGTGTATAACAACCACAACACTTGCAAACAAAAAACCCTTTGTCAACGCACTTGTGATTTCTCTCAGTGCACCTCCCTTTTGGTCAATCCTGTTTAAATTGGTCATTTTTTTCTTTCGGGGGGCAGCTGCCACTTTTCCTGAGATTTTTCCCAGTCCCTTAGCAACTACCGCATGTCTAGAAATAGATGTCTTTCTCCACCTCCGCACGCAAGCACTTTTCTGTAGAACGTCTTAATAAGTCAGGAAAGGGGGGAAACCCGCCTTTTTCATATACGGTTTTTAAAATAGAAGTATTAGAAATAGCAAGAGTTTCCTTAAATAAAATTCTGTCTTACCCGTGGAAGTGGGCGTGGCTCGAAATGTGCCAGAAACCATTTCTCCAAGACTTGAAGAAGAATTTCCACTCGATTTCCTGCGGTATCAGAAAGACCCCCATTAACACCAAGCGCCCAGAGACGCAAACGTGCGAGGCTTTTAGGCAGCAGCTGTGAGAGAGGGTAAAGGAGAGAGTCTTCACCCGCCTTCCCGCTGGGAGAAAGCCCCCTCCGCAGCGAGAGGTGCCAGGCAGGGACACGGGGAAGCCCAAGCGGCTGTAATTAAGCAGACCTCCGCGTCTGGAAGAGCTGCGTACCGGCCAAGAGGGGAGAGCGGGTTCCGCTGCAGCCTGAGCAAAGCTTTTCTGCCATCTGCCCGCAGGCAGGGCAACGCAGCAGCTCTGACCACAGACGTCTGCTAAACTCAGCGCACAGCCCAGCTCTGCACGAGATCAACCCCCCAGCTCCTCTGTCTTGCTGGGTCTCTCTCCACCAGCACGCATAACTACCCAGACACATCTCTCGGGACGGTTGGGATCTTCACTGGTGGTTTAAATAGCTTTTGTGGTGTAGTGACACTGGTTTAAGTAGCCCCTTCTGCCATTCCCTGTAGCTCCCTTGCTTCCAGCCCTGCAGTTCTGCCCCTGTGCGACGCACCCGGCACAAACCCACAGCATGCTGGAACGGGAAACTGGTTTGGGGGCAGGGGGGAAGATGTTCAGGTGATTCAGCTCTCTAATTCAGCTCATTGCACAAGCAGCTGAGGAGCAGATGGGAGGGAAGGAGAGCTCAGGGCCGAAAGGAGAGCGCTGTTTAAGCAAGCTGATCACTGCAGGTGACAGAGTCCCACGGTACAACCCACGCCTTTAGCACACTATTTAGTATTAATTACGTACAGACTGACCAGCAAGAGGACACTAGTCCCCATCAGTATTTTGCCCTTGCTTTCTTGCCATATGCTCTCCAGAGCAGGAATTCTTCACGCCTGGACTTGGCAAATCCTTTGCGAACACCTACTAGACTCTAGAAAGCCTCTTTACCAGACGACTTTTCACTGCCTTACTCAGACAAAATGAGAAATTCTTCATCATCACACAGAGCCTTAGTATCACACCTAGTCACAGCTTTTAAAGAAATCTTAAGCTACAGATATTATATGACTGTATCTAACAAAGGTGCTCAGAAATAAACTATTTTATCATTATGCATTGCTTTCAATTTTATCCTACAAATCCAGGAGTGTTAGTGCAGACTACTTGAAATCTTAATAGAGATTCTTTACGATATTTCCCCTGTCTCTTTCATACTTGATTTTATTCCTAATATTCTCCATAGGTCAGATTAGACAAAATCTTTGCAAGAATTGGTGATTCGGTGGGGTCATGCCCGTTCACACAAGCAGAGAATTTTTCTAATATGCTGTATCTTAAACAGTATCCTAAATACTCTGTTCATGTCCAGCTCTCTGAATTAGGTAATCTTCTTTCTGTACATTGAGATACACTGGCTTCCTCTGAAGCTATTTCAAAAATTATAAAAGCAATTTGGAAAAAGCACAGTTAATGCTGTTCAATCATTCTAAAAACATTTCCCCAGATGGTTTATACTTGAAATGATTCCTGACCTTGATTAAGTATATTAGTATGCCAATTCCCTGACAGCACTATACAGGCTAAATTATGCTCCTCTTACTGCTATCTATTAGGTCCAGATTCAATTGGCTCACGTCTCTACTCTGCGGTACTAAAGGTTTTGTTCTCCTTGTTATCTGTGTGAACACGGAAATTTCATTTTCAATTAGTGGGAATAATACACTAGTAGTAAAGTAATTTTTAAAAAAAAAAGAGAGAGAGAGAGAAAAGTATTTTGTGTATTCAGCCAACAGAAGAGTGACTTCAGTGTCTGAAGTGACATTATGAGAAATCAGGTTTACTTCCTAGACCTGTGACCAAGTTTGGTTTTCCAGGGAATTGCAATCTCCAGCTCTAGCAGCGTGGAGACACAGAATGGTCAGGCTGGAAGATGAAGAATAAAGGACGTCTAATTACAAAGCTTATCTTACAAAGTTTGAAAGTCCGGTTTTGGCCAAAATGGAGAGAAAGGAAAAAAGAAGGAAAAAACCCACAGCCTTAAGAACATAACAGTTGGGAAAAAAATCTGGCAGCCTTTGAGCACCAAGTTAAACCCATGGGGACGTAAAGCTCCCTAGCCCTTCAGAAATTTCTGCCATTACCACTCACACCGTATTACTGATCTTTCCTAAATTCAATACACATTTTTTTCCTGTTTCTCATCGTCAATATCTAACACATCTACTCTCTGCAAATACGTATTTTCATTTGGAATCCCAAATCAAACACTCCTCCAAATGCACTGCAATAAAAAAGAATCAACTGACCTTTGAAAATACTGTCCAGTGTCAGAAATTACTTTAAATTACTTTAAAAGGTTACAGCATTCTTACCCTCCATGGAAGCGGCCTCTCTTCTGCTCCTGTTGAATGCGGATATTCTCCAGTCTAAGCGGGCTTGGAATAAAGCCAATCTCGCAGCCCTCCTTCACCAGCCTTCCTATCCACCAGTCATTATTATATTTCTGGAACACAGAAAGGTTACTGGCTTCAATTCTAAACACTCCATGTCTAAAACTCCCTTATTTTGTAACCCACATTCCTTAACTCCATACTGGTCAATGCAACCAGACTCACACTGACGTCTGAATGCTGGACAATCCATCTGAATTTAAGCAAAGTTGAAAGGTGCTCGGCAGTATTTGGAAGGTTGATGTCTTCTTTGCAGCTGGACAGCAGAAAGCAGTGTTATCTGTGGCAGTACCGGCTTATCTCTTAACTGCCCCAACACATCCTGCTGTGACTTCTCTGATGTCACCAAGGTGTGACGGTGATTTAATCAGACAAACCAATTTTTGGTGAACCCAGGCCACCAAACTACCTCACAGCGGCCACATAAAGCAGTCAAACATAAAAATAACACCCCCAGATCACCATCGAAACCATCGTTATTAGTTCCCTGTAAAATTTAATGGTCTACACCAAAGATCGCCGCCGCCACCATCGTTCCTTCCTCCTTTCCATCGTATGGATGTTACTAACTTGTTATCCCTTTGCAAAAACCTTGTGTGATGGAACAGCTCTACAAACCCGATTCTAGAAACTGAAATAAAGAAAGACCAACCTACCCAAGACAACAGAGAAAACTTGGCAGCTCCAGCAACGAACCCCAACCTGTCTCTGGTTAATGCTCTAACCAAAGTTGTGACTCCTCTCTACAGATGAGGCTTTTACAGTGCCACTGCCTAGAAGTAGCTAAACTCTTTGGAGGCATACACTTGTAAATTTATGACAGTTGAAGGAAAATTCACCTTTAGGAAGAAACTTTAATATATACCTCGAAGTATAAATTTTAATTTTGTCATTGACCTTTAGTAACCTAAGTTTTTCTGCATTACTGACAGTCTGGCCTAACTTTAATGATGGCAAGATGAAAAGCGGTATCAGAGCGGATAGTGGAAAAGGATTTCTTGCAGCTGGCTGCCAGCAGAGCTTTTGAAGAAAACTATCTGAAAACCTTATCCTCTGCTATGCTTCATTAGGCACCTCAGTGTTCAAAAGAAACATTGCTTTTCACAACCAACTTTCAAGTCATTAAGACCAGCACGAGTGTACCAATTTTGTTTGCGTGCCTTGAGGAAAAAGTTATCACAGAAATCTCGTCTTAAAAAACAATCAGTTCTCTTGGCTCCATATTCTCAAGCACTTAAGTTCTTGCAGAGACACATAAATACCATGTCCTAGTTGTCAGAGGTACAGTGACAGTGCCTAACTGAAGTCTCTGAAACACAGAGAGCCTCAGCATCTTTGAAAAATAAATTAGCCTTTCTATTAACCCATACATGCACACAAATACTAACATATACAGCTAAGGGAAATGCAATCCTTATACCCTTATCTTGAAAAGCTGTCTGTTTATAGACAGCTGTTATTTATGTAGGAGGTTCCATTATTTTATCATTTCAACTTTTTAAGTACCTATTCTTCATGCGGTTATGACCGTGATTCAGACCATGTCAGCAAGCAAAGCTTAATTTTAAATATGTTGCTTCTGCTTAAGTCAACAGAACTATTTATATTCTTTAAGACAGACAAATACTTGAGGACCTAGCATTCTGCTGTTGCCAATCGGTGAAATCAATCAATGGATTTAAACCCCTGTAAAACCTGAGTCCCATGAGCATTACCCATACTATTTTGGTTCTAAATGTACGGCTTGACCATGGCAATCTTTCTTCCTTTAGCAGGTCATGGACCTTTCAGCGATGCCTCTAGACACGAGATCGAAATCAGAGTTATGCTGAGAATATCTGAACGACACAAATGGCAACGATGCAGCAGGAACACAGGGCTATTTGCATTAGGTCAGTACCTCCCATATGTTATTCCTTGCATTCAGCATGTGGGAGGACAGCAGTTCATTCCTATTGGTTGCCATGCCCATGATTTCTTCCGCATTGTCAGTAATTGTTGCCACTTCATCTTTCAAGTAAGCACATAATGTATAGTTTTGTAAGAGACAGATGAGACATACGGGGCACATTCTCAATATAGCAACTCATCAGTTACCACTGATGTTTCATCCTGTCAGCAGGGTGACCTTACTTCTTACCTAGTTTAGCATTATTGTAAAATCTGGAACCATGCTGGTTTCTAGTCCAAGCAAGCCTCTGCCAGTTCATTGAAAAACAAATTCTGCAAAGACTTTTTCCATGCAGCTAGACTCCGGCACGGGGAAACACTCCTGAAATCCTTCCGAGTTACAGCCACAGCTTCAGCCAAGCTGAAGGTTTCAGCATGGACAAAGACACTATGCTAAACCCTCAGCAGAGCTGACAAATACCAGTAAGCCAGATGGCTTGCAGTGTAGTGGCAATGTGATCCTGGCCATTTAGATCTTGGAAGAAAACTCACAGAATGCCAGGACATGGACTTGGGACACTTCTCTGGAAAAATGTACAGGGCAGCACGATAGGAGCTTAGTACATTAAATTCAATCACTGGCA